CCCCTCAGTCTGGCCTGTACCCTTTAGCAGTCTGGGAGCCCTCAGGGGATGTCTGATTGACAGCGACTGACAGCTAAGCCACAGTCCGACATCCTTAGCGCTGCCATGAAGGCGGGAGAGGCTCCTGCCACCACCTCTGCACTCGCCAGCAGCGCTCCCCCTGTGGGAGCACACTGACCACCAGGGGGCAGCTCCTGCGTTGAGCATCTGCCCCCTGGTGGTCAGTGCATGTCATAGCGACCGGTTGTTCCACCGTTCGGTTGATTTGCATTTTACCTTTTTTTTATATCGGATAATAATAGATTCTTGGGAAGTTGCAAAGATTGTACAGAATGGTCTCAAATACCCTTCCTCCAGGTTCCCCCAGAGGACATCTTAACTATAATACAATATCAAAATCAGCAAATTGACATTGGTACAATGTGTGGGTATAGTTCTGTGCCATTTTATCTATTTCTTGACTTTAAAATATCTGAGTTCAGCCCTGGCCGGTGTGGCTCAGTTGGCTGAGCATCGGTGGTCCCATGCACCGAAAGATCACCAGTTTAATGTTATTCCTGGTCAGGGCATGCAGCTAGTATGTGGAAGAGCCGGGATGAGACCTTGGGCAGGCCAGCTTGAGAGTGCACACTACGGCCTTCTATCTTGTGCCTTTGGAAGGAAGTCACTTTGCACAGCCCATACTTAAGGGGTGGGAGTTAGGTTCCACCTCCTTCAGGGCGAATTAGCTACATAAATGATTGGGAATTCTTTTGCATGGGTGATTTTTATTTTCATTTATTTATTTACATCACATGGACACACAGATATTTATTTTTCACCTTGGGTAATAATTTACTACTACTTTATTTAATTGCTCAAATTATTCCAGTTGTGGCCATTGGGAGCTCTGTCAGTTTGCTCCTGTGTCACTTTGACATACTCCCATGAGTGTGGGTTTTTTGTTTAGTTTTGTTTTTTGTTTTTAAGCACTTCCTTACTTTCTGACACCAAAAAATGTTTCAACCTTATGTATATTTCCTGTCCTCGCTCTAGAATCAACTATTTCTCCAAAGAGCTTGCTCTATTTTTAAATGACACTTATCACTATTTGACATTATATTATATATTTATTTGTATATTTGGTTTTTGTTCCTCTCTCCCCTGACTAAACTGCAAGTCCACAAGGACAGGAACTTTGCTTTATTCAATGCTGTATCCCTAGCCATAGAACAGTGCCTAGCATATAGTATGTGCTCAGTCAATATTATTGAATCAGCTTCTGATCATGGGACCAGTGGTCTTTTTTCTTAGAATTTTAATTTGCCCTCCAGAAGTTGAGAGTACACAACTCAACATTTACTTGTTTGGCTGTTGGGAGTTTTGGATATCATAGATATTTTTCCCTAAAATTTTCTCATCACTATGATCCTGATGATTCCTTACTTGTTGATCAAATTTAAGTCTAAATTTAAGCAGTTGCTTTAAAGCTTCCTCAATTTTGTGTGCAACAATTTTAGAGAAGTTCTGTTTTTAGAAAAAAACAATGAGACTTGCAACGGATTTCCAGATAACTGAAAACAA